TGGTGCCCGTCTCATATAATGAGTTCTCACTCTATTCGTTCTCACAAAAGTTCCTAGAGAACTGGTTATGAAAACAGCCCAGCACCTCCCTTCCCTGTCTTTTGCTTCCTCTCTCACCACATGATCTGCACACACCATCTCCCCTTTGCCTTCTTCCGTGAGTGGAAGCTTCCTGAGGCCACTATCAGGGGCCGGTGCTGGTGTTATTCATGTACAGCCTACAGGACCATGAGTCAAACAATCATCTTTTCTTTATAAATTATTCCACCTCCGGTATTCAATTAGCAATACAAAAGAGCTAAGGCAACATGGAATACTTCTTCAGTAAAAAATACAGTGAATTATGGAAGACTCAAATGAATTTTAAAATGGCATTATCATGATCAGAAGATAAATATTAAGATGTCAGTTCTCTCTGTATTGATTTAAGTATTCTTATACAAAATTCCAAAACATATATTATATGTGTATTTGCATCTATTTGCATATATAAATATATACATATATGTATATATGTAAGTGTATATATGCACATACATACTTATATGCTGATAAGTTGGTTCGAAAATTTATATGGAAACACCAAGACCTAGAATAGGCAAATAATCTTGAAAAAGAACACAATTGGCAAAATAAGACTTGACTTTAAGGCTCGAGTAATCCAAAAACAGTGGTGTGGAGTAGAATTGTCTATAAATAGACCCACATGTGCATGACCAATTCAATATCTTCAAGTCTGTTCCATTGGAGAGGAAGGACTTTCCACTAAATGTTGGTAGAACTAGTAAAATATGATTTGAAAAAACTGAACCTTGACCCCTTCACAAAATTAGTCTGAGATGGATCACAAGCCTAAAGGTAAAATTGAAAACTATAAAGTTTCTGCAACTGTGCTGCCCAATACAGTTGATACTAGCCCTATGTGATTGTTGAAATATCCGACATTTAGTGAGAAAAACAAAAGAATATAAGTATCTCGTTAATTTATATTTAATGTCCATATATTTTGGATCAAATAATGTATCATTAAATGTAATTTCACCAGTTCCTTTTAAATTGTGCCTTCTAGAAAGGTAAAATGACTTAGTAGCTTTACATTATATTTCTTCTGAACAGTACTACTCCAGAAGAAATCTGAGGCAATATCTGTGAGTGTGCAATAATTTCTTGGGGCTCATTCAAAATACTAAGAGTGAAAGAGAACATGTAATGAAACAATATCTTAAAATCTCAGCCAGGCGCAGTGGCTCACGTCTATAATCCCAGCACTTTGGGAGACTGAGGTGAGCATATTGCCTGAGCACACTGGTTCAAGACCAGCCTCAGCAACTTGGCAAGACCTCATCTCTACAATAAATCAAAAAATTAGCCATGCATGGTGGTGCATGCCTGTAGTTCAGGCTACTTGGAAGACTAAGGCAGAAGACTCACCTGAGTCCAGCAGGTCGAAGCTGCAGAGGTCGTGAGCATGCCACTGCACTCCAGCCTGGGCAACAGAGTGAGACTCCAACTCAAAAAAAAAAAAAAGAAACAAACAAACAAAAAACCAAAAAAACAAATGAAAGTAACCTATGGTGACAGAAATTCACAACAGTAGCTGGCCCAGTTTCCTTCACCCCTCTCAGTCATGAGTGGTCAAGGATGACATGAGAACATGTATGTAGAGGAACAACTCGGAGACCTCTCATTTCTTGCCCTTCCATCAGTGACTACAGCCAGGGATTATCCACAGGACATTCAGGAAGGTATAAAAGAGGACAAGGAGAAAAAAGCGCGGTCTTTCTCTCTCCCGAGTATCCCCTCCCAGTTGAACCTAGGCTATCCCAGCATATCTGACATGGTGACCCTCTGACTCCAATCTGAAGCCGCTGCTCTGTGTGATCAAGGTCCTCTGCAGAGCTGCAGACGTCTCCAACCTCAGGACTCAACTCTGTGTCAGCACCAAGGACAGCACCACCGCCCTCACCTGGGCATCCCCAGGAGTCTGAGTTTGTCCTGGGCAGATGGAGCGCCCCCTTTGGGTGGCACCTGACTCTGCTGGGGCAGGGGTGGGTGGTCACAAACAGGGCAGAACTCGGTAGCTGCTCAGGGTCTGCGGTATCGTGGGAGGGTGAGAGGGATTGGGAGCACAGGGAATTGGGAATTCCAGGGTTCAGGGAATCCACATCCTGTGACAGCCTGAGAATCCCCACCACGTCCATTCTCCCCTCTCCCTTCTGAGAACTCCCCTTCCACCCCAGAAGAGCCCAGTCTGTCCTCCCCCACTACAGGCTGCCCTCTGGCATTGGAAAGATCAGGCGACTTGTCTTTCTCCCAGCCAGATGTTGCTCTCCTCAAGGGCAAGGCTGAGTCTGTCCTACTCACCATGTGCTGGACACCTCAAAGCATAGCATGGGTGCTTGGTATTTGTATGCTGAGTGGATGAATTAATGAAAGAGGGAGTGAATGAATGAAGTGACTCCCTCATCTGATCAGAGATACTTGACAGTCTTTCCCTCTGAAACCAACATAAGCCTGCCCCCTCCAGCCTTGTCGATCCTGCACTGACAAGAGAGATTACGTGGTCCCTGGGTAGACACCAGAGCACAAGACTGGGTGCCTGTGAGGTTGGGGCAGGTCATCTGCCATCTTGGTCCATTTTCATGGCGATTAAAAAATTCCATAGACCAAGTGGCTAGAGAACACAAGAAATTTATTTCTCAAGGTTATAGAAAGGAAGGGAAGACTAAGATCAATGTACAGGCAGATTTAGTGTCTTCACGGCCTCCTTTCTCATAGATGGTGCTGTTTCCTGTCCCTATGGTGGGAGGGACAGACACACTCCCTCAGGGCTGTCGCATTAGGAGAGAAATCTCATTCATGAGGGCTGCACCATCATGACCCAGTCACATCCCAAAGGACCACAATTTCTAATACCATCATCCTGGGGGTTAGAATTTCACCTTATGAATTTTAGATCATGGCACTTGCCACTCTGGACCTTGGTATCTTCTTCTGCAATGTGAGGAAGAGAAGCTAGAGGGTATCCTAGCTTATCTGGGTCATGAGTGTGCACACAGAAAGATTCTCTATGACTTTTGCATGTTTCTCCTTTTCATTCTTATCTTCTGATTTCTTTCTTAAGTGAGGACCATGACACACTTCCCATTTTGAATTCTGCCCTTTAAAAAATGTCTTTCTTTTGAAATCCCACTGCACAACAGTCACAGCCTCAGATTCCCAGGCCTCCTGCAAGCTGGGCTCCCTGGTGTCCTTGGCGTGTGTTGACACATGGAACCCTCACTTCCACAACCCCATGTCCCCTACTCAGTTCTCCTGAGACCCAACCTCCAACCCAGGAAAAAGCCCCCACCCTGCCTGTGTTTCCCCCCTAAAGCTCCTGTCACAGGAGCTCAGCTGTCAGGAGACTTGTTGTCTCCCTACTGGACAGTGACTCCTTGGGGACAGTGCCCAGGTCTGGTTTGTTGCCCTCATTATTCAGAAAAGGGATACCCACCTTGTAGATGCTGAAGTAGGGAGGAGGCTGCCTGTCACCCCACCTGGGTCCCATCTCTCCCAACTCCTACCTTTAGCAGCCTGACTTCCACAGACATTGAAAGTCAGGGGAGCCTCGGGGGTCTGACCAGATGGAATCTATTTTCACTCTGCAGAAAATGTCATCCAAGAGGAAGGACATTGAGAGGGAAGCAGGAGATGAAGGTTAAGCCCCACATGGGGTGTGAATTTGAGTGAGTCTCTCACCCTCTGGCCTTAGGGTCCCCAGGAGTGGATGTGGGTTGGTGTATGGTTGATCTCCAAGGGCTGACCCAGCCCTGACAGCATCTGGGTATGAAGTTCCTCCTCTGAGGAAGTCAGTGTTCTAGCCTTGCCCCTGTCTTCCTGTGGGGCCCCCTCTGTGTCTTGAGCTCTTAGTTCCTGAGAGAAGAACTTTGAGGAACACACTTTCCCCAGCAGCCCTGTTGCTCCCCACCCCAGATATGCTGCTGCTTCTGCTGCTTCCCCTTCTCTGGGGGACAGAGGGACAGGGACAGCTCAGGGATGGTTACACGCTGAGTGTGCATGGGTTGGTGAAGGTGCAGGAGGGCCTGTGTGTTTCTGTGCCCTGCTCCTTCTCCTACCCCCAAGATGGCTGGTCTGACTCTGACCCAGCTTATGGCTGCTGGTTCCAGGAAGGGGCCACGACAGACCAGGATGCTCCAGTGGCCACAAACAACCCAGCTTGAAAAGTGCAGGAGGAGACCCAGGGCCTGTTTCACCTCCTTGGGGACCCACAGACCAACAACTGCTCCCTGAGCATCAGAGATGCCTGGTGGGAGGACCAGGGGACATACTTCTTTCAAGTGGAGAGAGAAAGTATAAAATGGAGTTACAATTACTACCACCTCTCTGTGTATGTGATGGGTAAGGAACGGGCCCCAGGAGTGGCCACAGGGGAAGGTCACGGAGCCACAGGGCAGGGCTGAGATGGGACCCCTGACTTGAGAAGGACTTGGGGGAGAAGCATGATGTGCTCAGGGGAGAAGCCTGACCAGAGCCTGAGCTTCTCTTGGGGCCACACTTCGGACCCTCTATCCTGATCCTCTGTGTCCCTGTCTTCTCACCAGCCCTAACCCAGACATCGTCATCCTTATCTGACCTTGACATTGTCAACCTTATGCTAGACATTGTCATCCTTATCTGACCTTGACATTGATGACTCATGGGGCTGGGAACCTCTTCATTCCTGGCGGCTGTCATGTGTGCTTAGCAAGGTACTATCAGCATCCTCTATGCAACCTATGTCAGCAGCACCACTTCACCTCCACCTAGTATGACAATGGAAACTGTCCCCACACAATGACAAATCCCCAATGGGGTAGGATATTTTATAATTGTGACACTTAAGGACCCTTAGGTCTAGACAGTACCATGACTCTCAGGCCAGGCAGAAAGGGACCATTCCTGGTGCAAAACGAGGAACCCCAGAGGCACTTCAGCCCAGGCAACAAAACTCTTAGAACATGGTCCTGTCCATCCTGCATGACCCAGAGGTCTTCAGGGTTCCTGGTCAAGCACCTAAAAGTCAGGAGGAAACTCCATGGCAGTCCATAGACCTGTGGGCAGGACCCTCACATGTGGGTCAAGCTCTGGTGCTCCAAGGAAGCCCCAAAGTGGGAGGTGGGACATGTACTCTGCTCCATCTCTGCTCCCCTCTGGATGGGTCTCTGGGCCCCAGATTTCCCTCTTTTCTGTGCAGAGGAGGATGAGCTCTGACCATGTGTGTGCCTGAGGTTCGTCTTCTGGGAACCACCGAAGTCTCCTGCTCCTCCTAGCCTCTATGGGTCCCCAGCCTCCCCCCTCCATTTGCCCCCCTTCTCTGTTTACACAAGGAGTCCAGGACTCTCCACCTCAGAGATGCCACCACTGCTGCCCTTGCTGTAGGAAGACAGAGAAATGGACAGTGGGAGCTGGACAGAAGTGACCCTCGCTTCTCCACAGGGTATCCGAATCAGGATCCGAGATTCCAACTAGAAGTGCCTGATTCAGTGACACTGCTGGAGGTTTTGTGCGTCCTCGTGCCCTGCAGGATCTTCTACCCCTGGGACTGCTGGGATGATTCCAGCCCTGTCCATGGATATTGGTTCTGGCAAGGGATCAGTATAAACAGCGATTCTTCAGTGGCCACAAACAATCCAGCTCGAAAAGTGCAGGAGGAGACCCAGGACCAATTCCACCTCCGCAGGGACCCTCAGACCAACAACTGCTCCCTGAGCATCAGAGATGCCAAGAGGACAGACCAAGGGACATACTTCTTTCAGGTGGAGAGAGGAAGAAAGAAATACACTTACAATTATCCCCAGCTCTCTGTGTATGTGACGGGTAAGGCATGAGCTCCAGGAGCAGCCAAGGGGAAGGTCATGGGGCTGCAAGGAGGGCTAGGATGGGACCCCATACTGAAGGGGTTGGGGTGAAGCATGTAGGGCTCGAGGGATGAGCTTGACCAGAGCCTGAGCTTCTCTCAGGGCCACACGAGGGATCCTCCCTGCTGATCCAGAGTGTCCTCCTCTCCTCCCTTGACCCACATGTCACACATCCTCATCTTGCTTTGACCTTGGCAGTGTTGATATGTGGGGCCAGATGTCACTTCCTTCCTGGGGGCTGCCCTGGGCATGGCAGGTTGTTAGCAGTATCCAGGCCTCCTTGCAACAGATGCCAGTGGCACCAACCCACTCCCATCCAATGTGATGATAGAAACCGTCACCACACAATGTCAAATGTCCATGGGGGTAGAATCTTCCCCAATTGCGATACTTAGGCCTAGAAAACATTGTGACTCTCAGGCCAGGGCAAGAAGGGATCATTCTTGATACAAAATAAGGGGCTCCAGAGGCATCTCAGCCTGGACAGCAGGACTCTTAGAATATGGTCGCATCCATCCCTCATGTCCCAGAGGTCCTCAGGGGTCCCCACAGAGCCCCTAAAAGGCAGGAGGAACTTCCAGGGTGGTCCATAACCCTGGTAGGCAGGACCCACATGCATGGGTCAGGCTCTGGGGTTCCAGAGAAGTCCCAGAGTAGGAGGTGGGACAAGGTATCTGCTCTGTCTGCTCCCCTCTGGGTGGCTCTCTGGGCCTTGGAGTTCCCCCAGTTCTGTGTGAGCACCCAGAGTTCTGACCACATGTGTGTCTGAGATTCCTGTTCTGGGAACCAGAAGGTCTCCTGCTCCTCCCAGCCTCCCTGAGTCCTCAGCCCTCCCCCTCCATTCACGTCCTCTTCTACTCACCCAGGGAGCCTAGGACTCTGCACTTCAGAAGCACCATTGCAGCTGCCCCTGCTGGGCACACAGAGAGAGGGACAATGGGGCTGAGGTAGAAGTGACCTTCATTTCCCTACAGAGGCCCTGACTCAGGATCCGAGAATCTGACTGGAAGTGCCTAATTCAGTGATGGTGCTGGAGGGTCTGTGCGTCCTTGTGCCCTGCGATGCCTCCTACTCCTGGGACTGCTGGGATGACTCCAGCCCTGTTCATGGATACTGGTTCTGGCAAGGGACCAATATAAACAGTGACTATCCAGTGGCCACAAACAATCCAACTCGAAAAGTGCAGGAGACCCAGGGCCAATTCTGCCTCCTCAGGAACCTGATGAACAACAATGTTCCTTGAGCATGAGAGATGCCAGGAGGACAGACCAGGGGACATACTTTTTTCAGGTGGAGAGAGGAAAACAGCAGCACACTTACAATTCTCCCCAACTCTCCATGTATGTGACCGGTAAGGAAAGAGCTCCAGGAGCAGCCAAGGGGAAGGCCATGGAGCCCCAGGGCAGGGCTGGGATGGGACTTCCATCCTGGAAAGGGGTTGGGGTGAAGCATGTCAGGATCAGGGGAGGAGCTGGACCAGAGACTGAGCTTCTCTCAGGACAACACCTCGGACCCTCCCTCCTGATCCTACGTGTCCCTACCTTCTCATCAACCCTGACCCACACACTGACATTCTCATCTCACTCTGACTTTAGCATTGTTGACACATGTGACTGGATGCCCCTTCCAATCTGGGGCCTGTCCTGTGCTCAGTAGAGTGTTGTCAGCATCCAGGCCTCTATGCACCAGAAGCCACCAGCACCAGCCCACCCTCATGCTATGTGATGGTAGAAACTGTCATCACACAAAGTCCAATACCCATGGGGATAGAATCTTCCCCCAGTCATGACCTTTAGGCCTAGACAGCACTGTGATTCTCAAATCAGGCAGAAAGGGACCAATCCTGGTGCAAAATAAGGAGCCCCAGAGGCACTTCAGTCGGGGTCGCAGGACTCTTAGATCATGGTCCCGTCCATCCCTTGTGTCCCAGAGGTGTTCAGGGGTCCCTATTGTACCCCAAAAGGCAGGAGGAACCTCCATGTAGATCCATAGACCTGGTGGGCAAAACCCTCATGTGTGAGCTAGGCTCTTGTGCTCCAGGGAAGCCCTGAAGTGGGAGGAGAGACAAGGAGTCTGCTCTGTCTCTGCTCCCTGCTGCGTAGGTCTCTGGGCCTGGGGCTTCCCCAGTTCTGTGTGGGAATCCAGAGCTCTGGCCATGTGTGTGTCTGAGGTTCCTCTTCTAGGAAGTACCAAGGTGTCCTGCTCCTCCTAGCCTCCATGGGTTCCCAGCCCTCCCCCTCCACTCACCTCCCTTTCTCAGCTCATACAATGAGGCCAGAACTCTTCACCTCAGAGATTTCACCACTGCTGTCCCTGCTAGGCAGACAGAGAGAGGAACAGTGGGAGCTGGGCCATAAATGACCGTCATTTCCCCACAGGGTACCTGACCCAGGATGCAAGAATCTGACTAGAAGTGCCTGATTCAATGACGCTGCTGGAGGGTCTGTGTGTCCTCGTGCCCTTCAGGGTCTTCTACCTCTTGGACTGCAGGGATGACTCCAGTCCTGCCCATGGATACTGGTTCTGGCAAGGGGCCAATATAAGCAGTGACTCTCCTGTGGCCACAAACAACCCAGCTCAAAAAGTGCAGGAGGAGACCCAGGGACGATTCCATCTCCACAGGAACCCTCAGACCAACAACTGCTCCCTGAGCATCAGAGACGCCAGGAGGATGGACCAAGGGACATACTTTTTTCAGGTGGAGAGAGGAAGAAAGAAATACACTTCCAATTATCCCCAGTTCTCGGTGTATGTGACTGATAAGTCACAGACACCAGGAGCAGCCAAGGGGAAGGTCATGGGGCCACAGGGAAGAGCTGGGATGGGACCCCTATCCTGGGAAGAAGTTGGAGTGAAGCATGTCAAGCTCAGGGAAAGCTGAACCAGAACCCGAGCTTCTTCTAAGGCTGAACCTTGGACCCTCCCTCCTCATCCTGTGTGTCCCTCTCTCCTCACTAGCCCTGACCCACATGCCATCTTCATTTTGCTCTGACTGTAACATTGTTGGCACATGGTGTGGGATGTCCCTTCATTCCTGGGGGCTGTCCTGGGCCTGGCAGGATGTTAGCAGCATCCAGGCCTCCTTGCAAGATGCCAGTGCCACCCCACTCCCACCCAGTGTGGCAGTAGAAACTGACATCCCACAGTATCAAATGCCCATGGGTGTAGAATCTTCCCCAACACAGACCCTTATGTCTTGACAATACCGTGATTCTCAGGCCAGGCAGGAAGGGAACATTCTTGGTACAAAATAAAGGCCCAAGAGGAACCTCAGCCTGGACAGCAGGCCTCTTAGAACACGGTCCCGTCCATCCCTCATGTCCCAGAGGTCCTCAGGGGTCCCTCACAGAGCCCCTAAAAGGCAGGAGGAATCTCAGGATGGTCCATAACCCTGGTGGGCAGGACCCACGTGTGTGGGCCAGGCTCTGGGGCTCCTGGGAAGCCCTGAAGTGGGAGGTGGGACAAGGTCTCTGCTCTGTCTTTGCTCCCCTCTGGATGGGTCTCTGGGCCTTGGAGCTCCCCCAGCTCTGTGTGGGAACCCAGAGATCTGGTCACATGTGTGTCTGAGTTTTGTCTTCTGGGAACCGCCAAGGTCTCCTGCTCCTCCCAGCCTCTGTGGGTCACCAGTCCTCCCCGTCCATGGGCCTCCCCTTCTCAGCTCACACAGGGAGCCCACGACCTTCCACCTCAGAGATGCCACTGCTGCCGCCTCTGCAGTACAGACAGAGAGATGGTCAGTGAGGGCTGGGGCAGAAGTGACACTCATTTTTCCACAAATGGCCCAATTAAGGATCCGAGGTTCTGGCTGGATGTGCCCAGTTTGGTGACGGTGCAGGAAGGTCTGTGCTTCCTCGTGCTATGTAAGGTCTTCTACCCCAACTGCTGGGATAACTCCAGCCCTACCCATGGATCCTAGTTCCAGCAAGGGACCAGTATAAGCAGTGACTATCCAGTAGCCGCAAACAGGCAACACCAACAAGTGCAGGAGACCCAAGGCCAATTTGACCTCCTCGGGAACCTCCCGACCAACAACTGCTCTCTGAGCATCAGAGGTGCCCAGAGGATGGACCAGGGGAAGTACTTCTTTCTGTTGGAGAGAGGAGGAAAGACATGCATTTACACATCTCTCCAGCTCTCTCTCTATGTGTGATGGGTAAGGTCTGAGTTCCAGGAGTGGCCTCGGGGGAAGGTCGTGGGGCCACAGGGCAGGGCTGGGATAGAGATCCTCCTGGGTGGGGGATGGGGTTGAAGTGTGTCCAGCTCAGGGGAGGAGCTGGACCAGAGCCTGAGCTTCTCCAGGGCCACACTGCGGACCTGCCCTCCTTCCTGATCCTGCATGTCCCCATCTCCTCACCAGCCCTGATTCCCAACATCTTCATCACGGGGCCCTTAGCGTCTGGCCTCCCCAGGAACCTGACCTGTTCTGTGCCCTGGGCCTGTGAGAAGAAGATGGTCCCCATGATCTCCTGGACAGGAGCCTCTGTGTTACCCATGGGCTCCACCAGCACCCACTCCTTGGTGCTCACCCTCATCCCGCAACACCAGGACTACGGCACCAGCCTCACCTATCAGGTGACCTTACCTGGAGCCAGTGTGGCAATAACAAGGACCGTCCATCTCAATATGCCTTGTGAGAGCTGGGCCCACGTCTCTGATTGAGGGGATCCCTGAGGGCGGAGGATGGACACGGGGTGTTGAGTCCCAGAGTGAAGGTAAGAGTGGGGGACCAGGAGGACACTGGTTCCACCTTCCCCATCTATGTAGCTGCTGGGTTAGAGAACTAGTGTCCACACCCCCACAGTGATGTGGATCTGCCATGTCTTTCTGTCCAGATGCTCCTCAGAACTTGATGGTGACTGTCTTCCAAGGAGATGGCACAGGTAGGACAGAGTCCCCTCCCTGGGTCAGGGAGCAGGGCCTTCAGCTCAGGGCAGGGCCCCTCCTCATCTCAACTCACCTGGTCACCAGAGATCTCCTGTGGGTGAATTCAGGGTCCCTACCCCATCCTCAGCCTCCATGGTCCCCCAAGCTCTTGCTCCATCCATCCTTTACACTGCTCACACTCTTCCACACACACACACCCCTCAGCCCACAAGGACAGGGTGACATTCACACGGTAGGACCAGCTTTGAGGGCCTCATCAACCTTCTCCCGGACATGCCCCCAGCCTTGTCTTTATTTCCCCCAAAATAAGTGACCTAAGTCCTTCTGGGCAGGTGATGAAGTCACATGGACTAAAATCCAAAACGCACAGCAACGTCTGTCCCTAGATGCCTGTCCCCCTCCCCAGAATCGACCCTTGTCCATCCAGGCTGCTCCATGTCTTGGTATGCTCACCTGAAGGATCTCAGCAGTCATTTGACATCAGTAGGATAGACTGTCCTCATCCTCCTCCAGGACCATGTGGTATCCATTGAACAGATGGCTCCAGATTCTGTGGCCTCATGAAGGGTCAAGGTGTTAATTGTGTTCTCCTACAGACACACTGCAGTGACTAGCCTTGTGTCTCTTTTCATGAATACATGTGGAGCTGGGAGACTAATGTCCGACATCCAAAATAGTCAGGTTCTTATTTTTTTGAGACTGGAGAGATGTGGGCACATTGATCTCTACGGAGGACGGACGAGTTTCCATCCCAACAGCGAGGGTGACATGAGAGTGTCTCCCCAGCCTCACACCCAAGTGTGGGTGAGACAATTTGATCTTTGCCAATATCAGTTAAATACTGGAATGTCCATGTAGGTGTTTTTGTTTGCTTGTTTGTTTGAGTCAGAGTCTCACTCTGTCACTCAGGCTGGAGTGCAGTGGCATGATCACGGCACACTGCAGCCTAAACCTTCTGGGCTAAGGCGATCCTCCCGAGTAGCAGGGACTACTACACAGCACCATGCATGGCTAATTTTTTTTATGTATAGTAGAGACGAAGTCTCGTTATGTTGCTCAGGCTGGTCTTGAACTCCTGAGATCAAAAAATTTCTTGCTGCCTTGGCCTTCCATAGCACTGGGATTACAGGTGTGTGCCACTACACCCAGCCTCCATGTAGTTTGCATGAATATTTTCCTCCTTATAACTGATGTTGTGCACATTTATAGGGCAAAGAACAATGGGATTTCTCATATTCTGTGAACTCCGTTCATGGACTTGCTCAGCTTTCCAGAGTGTTTTAGCTTTTTACCATTCATCTTTGGAGGCTCTTTTCAGTTTGAGAAATCACTGTCCCTAGGCAATGTGAATTGCAAATATATTTCCCAACATGCCAGTGGCTTTTGCTTGGATGTCCATGATTGTTACAATGTATCAGAATGTGTTGACTTCCGTAGTCGCATTTATCCATCTCTTTTATCGGTTCTGATTTCCCCATCTGAGTTTATATAAACAGATATCCCTGTGCTTCCTCCTGTGTCCTGTCTCTGAATTCTACCCTCACCTCCACCCTGTACAACTCCTCTCACTCCAGCCCTGCAGGTCTATTAACTCTTCAATGGATGTGTGCAGACCTGGGTCATCTTTGCACTCTCTGGTCCTCCTTTCTGAGATGCCCTTCCACTCCTCACCATCTAGCCAACCTGAGTGTCTTTAATACCCTACTTAAGGCACAAAGCAGATGTACCTCCTCCAGAAAGCACTCCTGGACCACAACTTTTGCATGGTCCCATTTACATCACTGTCTTCAGGGCTGGTGCAACCTGCATCGCCTCTACCACATATCATGTGACCTTGTGAGTACCTGTTTCTAAGTCCCTGCTTCCCACCAGACTCCACTTTTGGGAGCGAGCCCCACTCCGAGACACAGTGATCAATAGGAAACTGACATCCCGTGAAGAGGTGGATGAAGAGGAATGTTCAGTGTGAAACTGGATTCTAGTTGACAGCAAGAGTGTTGAAGAAGGTGTGGCATAAGGGGCTGAACTGACATCTCTCCTGGGTTCCTGTGGACCCAAGACCCTCCTTCTGTGATTTCCTGGGCATATTTCAAGCTGCACCCGGCCCACAGTGCAGAGATGAATCCACATGACCAGTTTGTGTCTGTGGGTCTGAATCTGTTCCTCTCCTCCTCCTCCTGTGTCCTTTTTCTTTCTCTCCATCTCTCGATCTCTCTGACACTCTCTCTCTCTCTCTCTCTCTCTCTCTCTCTCTCTCTCTCTCTCTCTCTCTCTCAATAGCAGCCACATCCCTGAGGAACAGTTCATCTCTCTCTGCACCTGGTCTGTGCTGTGGACAGCAACCTTCCAGCCAGGCTGACCTGGACCCAGGGAAACCTGACCCTGTGCCCCTCACAGGCCTCCAGCCCAGGGATGCTGTATCTGCCTCAAGTGCACCTCAGGGATGAAGGAGAATTCACCTGCCAAGCTCAGAATCCTCTAGGCTCCCAGCATATCTCCCTAAACCTCTCCCTCCAGAGTAAGTGTCAAAGGGCAGAACACCAGACCCCTCCCAATGACCCTCAGCTCCCAAGTCTCTGAGCAAGCCCCAACCTGGGGTCAGCAGGGCATAGGGGTGTGCTCAGCTCAGCCTCTCATGCAATTGTGGGGCCTGGATTTCCACAGGGCCTGAGTCCTCAGTTTACTACTGGATGGTCTTCGTAGAGGGTGGGATGGAGTGGGAGCTAAAGGGATCTCACATCCAGGGATGCAGGAAGGGTCTGGAGACCCCATGTCCACATTCCAATAAGAGAGGAAGGGCTGAAGATTGTGGCTTAGCAGGTTATTCGGCCTCATTTCGTTTTACTTGCAGGGAAATCAGGGCCCCTGGCAGAGGTGTTTCTATTGGCCCTTGGAGTAGTGACTATGAAGATCCTGCTTCTCTGCCTCTGCTTCATCTTACTCAGGTGAGCACTGTGCCACGGACCAGGAGGAGGCATGGACAGGGCAGGGAACATGATGCTGAATCCCTTGTTAGTGCTGGAGGGACCTGAATGGGTAAAAGGGTCTGGGAGGAGGCAGGAGGCTGAATTGAGGAGAGAATTCACATGTGTGAACAGTCATCTGTCCCCGACTCCACACGAGTGTCCAGTGTGAGGAGGTTCCTGCTCTCATCACAGAGGTCTTGGGGCCTTGACCAGCTCTCTACCCTCAGTCTCCTCTAGCTGCTTAACAGGGCACAGGGAAGTGACTCTGCTGCCTTTTGACCCCAATTAGGCAACACTGGTCCTGGTCTCAGGTCCTGGTCTCTTCTGAGGTCCTGCAGGACGAAGACAGCAAGGGCAGCAGCAGGCATGGAGGATACAAACGCTGTCACCAGGTAATCACTTAGGTGAGTATCGTGAGCATCTCACTATCCAAATCCCCCAGGTGGCTCCAAGATTTCTCTGGTCAGCATGGTCAAAGTGGAACCACCCATCCTCCTCCCCAAACTCATGTCTCCTGCTAGAATCCTCATCCTGCTGATGACATGGCAGCCCCATCTCTAAAGCAGAACCAGGGTGTGTTTCTCACCTCAACCTCCCTCTCTCCCCCAGATCCCATTCATTACTGTATCTCATCCCACCTTCTCTTAAGCACGGCTCCACTTGGTGCCCTTTTCATCACCCTGATCCTGGTCATTGCTGCGGTATCACCTCTTCCCTGGTCAATGAACCCACTTCCCCTCCTGCCTCCCTCTCTTCCCAACACAGATCTGTGCTTCCAGATGCCTCCTTGTCCAGGTCCTCCAGCATCTGAATGACCATGTTTTCCTCCATTGCTGAAGAGAGAGGTGCAAAGGCCACTGCCTGGACTGAGGATCGTGCATGATATGTCCCTGCTGGCTCTGTTCTAGGTGATGTACAAATGGACATGGCACACATGAAAAGATGCTCATCAACATTAATCATTTGACAAATGCAAATCAAACTGCAATGGAGATACTACTTCACACACTTCAGAAGAGCTATTTAAAAGGAAGAAATAGGCACAACATGCGCGTGCCCTCTCCCTCATCCACTGCTGCTGCCTCCTTCTTCTGATACTCCTGGTGCTGCTCATGTGCTCGTTCGGTGTCGGTGACCAGCACTGACCAAGGGTGGGTTAGGACCCGCAAGAGAGAATCTGGACAGCGAGAAGAAACTACTCGGAGGCAGTTCTTCTGGGAACAGTCTGATCAGGACTGGAGCCAAATTTTATTCGGACTCCTTCCAACTTATATACCATTTTCTATACCCTCCAGCAGTGTGATAATCACTCACTGGGGGTGTACAAGTTCCGTGCTTTACAAACTATGCATCACAAGACCACCACGAGATCTGCAATTTCCAAGCAAACAATTCGAATTCCATGATGCCTGCCGTGCTTACATTAAGGCCACAGGTGCACAATTTCAGTACAAATCATTCAAAGTGTTTTCCATAATGTTCAATGAATCATTCATATTATAACTCTTTGTTCTATACCCTGATTAATACAAAAAACTTTTCTGAGTTAACTCTAGGTTCAATCCAAGTTCACTGACTCCAAATATTTTTAACGATTAATATTATAACTTAACACTATACTATAATCTATAAGTTTAGTTAAATGACTTAACTGTCAGTTATACTATTAACCTATTATGATTTAACGTAATGCCTTATAACTCAGTTAAAACTTATTCTTAAACTACAAAACTTTACTATAATTCATATGAGTTTCATATGTCTAATCTTTAATTTTTATATGATCTAGTGATTGGACTTTAATACTATGCTAGA